CCCCATCTCAAAACAAAAACAAAGCCTCCAAACCAACCAACCTCACAGACCTGTTAGTGGGTCTGTACCTTTCTAAGTTTCTGGCTTGTATGAAAACACTTTGTATATAACTTCAAAATTACATGATGGAATTGGAAGGAATTACACATTGCATGTAAGAGAAGAGGGGGAGTCAACTCTGGGATGGAGAGATGACCCAAGTTCAATTCCCAGCACTCATGCCTGGCACCTCACAATTACTTAACTCCAGCTCCAGGGGATCTGATGTCCTCTCAGGCCTTCTCAGGCACGCATCATACACACAAACACACACACACACACACACACACACACACACACACACACACACACACACACACACACACACACACACGAAATCTTGAAAGAATAAACAACAGAATAAACATTCCATTTTCTAACTGAGGTAGATGCTGAATAGAGAGTCATTCAGGAAAGGAGCTGGAGGAGCTGTCAATGTACACCAATCTTTCTGGTAAAAATAATGTGATAACTTTGAAAGCAAGATGTTGATGGGCTTGAAAGACAAAGGAGTCTAAGGGCTTTCAATGACATTTCAGTTGTGGACCAATAACAGTTACTTCCTTTTTTTTGGTTTTTCAAGACAGGGTTTCTGTGTGTAGTGCTGTCCTGGAACTAGAACTGTAGACCAGGCTGGTCTTGAACTCAGACATCTGCCTGCCTCTGCCTCTAGAGAGCAAGGATTAAAGACATACACCACTACCACCTGGCCCTTTTGCTCTTTTTCATGGTAGTGCTCGGGATCCAACCCAGAGTCTTGTGCGTGCTAGACAAGTGTTAATAGTTACACTCCCAGCCCAAAGTATTTAGTGCTAGTTATTAGCGCTATCCACAAACATCCTGATTCTTCTAGGGAAAAATTAGGACTGCAATCCCCTCACTTAGGAAGGTGAGTGACAAGGGCTATAAGTTGACTGTAACTCCATTTTGGTACCTGAGATGAATTTTGTCTTGAGGAAAGTGCCAGTAACTATAGGGGAACTTAAAAAACAATCCCTGGAAGAAAAACAGCTCAAGGATGAAGGCTCTTTGAAAGGTTGCCTGACCTCCCTCTTTTTGCTAATTGAATATTTTGCCTTTTGTGACTATCTGCTTGCAGTTGTGGGAAAGGAATCTTGGGGACTTTCCAGCCAGGATGTGGTTTTCTTGCTTAAATATGGACTCCAGGAAAGGCTCATGGCTGCACTTGGGTTCAGAACACCCAGGTGTGGTCACCAGCTAGCTGGAATAAAGACTTTCAGATGGCTCTTGGGCTGTATCTGAATGGTCTTCTCTGGTGGGAGCCCTGAAACACTGTGATTACCTTGGTCCAATAAAAACAGAAGATAATGTCCACTTTAGGTATTTCCAAATCCCTCTTTATGATACCACCTCCTTTCTTGTTCTGTCTCAATGGCGGACAGTGTTCAATTCTGCTCTATAAGGCTAGGCATACCACTGATATTTAGCTCAAAAATTTCAAGCTGTTAGCTTTAAAAAAAACTAGATCTTAACCACTGAGCCATCTCCCCAGCCCTATTTTTGGGTATGTTTTAAGATTAACACAATGGACCATTTTTAACAAAAAATGAGTACAAAATTTCATTACAGTTCAGTCTTCATACCCACCTGGTTACCCTATGACTAAGGAGAACAAATTTGTTTCTGGCCTTCATCTTTTCAGTCAACGAAGGAAGTTTCTCAAGCACTTATCCTACAAACCTCCCAACTGCAGTGACTTCCTGTCCTCTCCTAAGCAGCAGTCCAAATGTCGTCTATGTAGTTGACACAATCAGCCCAGCACTGCTTGGATCTCACCCAGGCTTCTGCAGCCCCTTCCAAATCTATGCTGTAGGCCTTATTTGATGTTCTTTCAAACTTGCTAAGCTACTAACTAGCTGCCTACCTGCACTCTCGATATTTTCTCTGGTTGATGTCAGATGTCTCCTCAGGTTAGGCTATTCTGATTATTCAGAACAGATACCCTGAACTGTCAATGCTTCCTAGAGAATTTAAAGGCTGCTACTGCTTTGAGTCAGCTTTGGGGATAGACTAGGTTCCTTGAGGGCAGAGATGATGTCATTTAGGGCACTTAATTTCTATTTGTTATATCTCCAAGTTATCTTAAATGATTAATAGTTTTTTTTTAAAGTTTATTTTATGTGTATAACTGTCTTGCTTGCATGTATGTATGTGCATGCCTGGTGCCCATGGAGTTCAGAAAACGATGTTGTATTTCCTACAACTGGAGTTAGAGATGGTTGTTGAGACACCATGTAGACGCTGGGAACCAAACCTTGGCCCCTGCAAGAGCAACAAGTGCTTTTAACTGCTGAGCTATCTTTCCGGCCAATATATTTTGGTTTAATTTTAAAGCCCAATAGTATAGCTTTAACATTCGTTATTAAAATTTCCATTTTATAATTCATTATCCATTTATCTTGATATTGATGACAGCAATATAAGCAATTTAAAATTTCCTGGTAGTGTGCTGGAGAGATGGCTCAGCCATTAGAGGGTAGGCTCAAAACCAAATATATAAAATATAAAATTTCCTGGTAACTATGTTAGGTCTGAAGGACTCCCCCACAACACACACACACACACACACACACACACACACACACGGCAGTGCTGGTGGCTTGTCTTAGACAGGATTGTTACTGGGTAAACAAAGGTATGAATCTGGGTTGGTTTGTTTTTCAAGACAGGGTTTCTCTGTGTAGTTTTGGTGCCTGTCCTAGATCTCGCTCTGTAGACCAGGCTGGCCTTGAACTCACAGAGATTCGCCTGGCTCTGCCTCCTGAGTGCTGGGATTAAAGGCATATGGTACCACAGGCCAGTGAACTCTGGATTTATGAGGAGCCTCCTTTAAAAGAGGGGAAACCTCTGTTGGTCCTGCCCCAAAGATCAACTGCCTCAGGCAAGGGCATCTAATACTGGTCAATCCCCAACAGCTCAAAGACCCGCCCCCCCAACACACAAAATCTGCTTTCTTTCCCCATTTTGCTCTTCTGTCCCCCTACCTGAGACAGCCTTGGCAGTTTGATCCCCAATAAACTTTGCTTTCTACCACGGAGTGGTTTGGCCCTGTCCACCATGCCCTTGCTTATAGTCAGCATTTAAAATTGTTTTATGTTCCCCCCTCCCACCTCAATAGGGTCTCATTATGGAGCCCAGACTGGCCTTGAATTCATAATCCTCTTGCTTTAGTCTTCCTGATGCTGGTCCAAAACTCCTTAATGGTACCAATTCAGTATTTAAGGTGTTTTTGTCATTTGTATGAAATCTGGTAGTGAGCAAGCAAATTTGTAAATCTGTTCATTATAGATAAAACTTATGGAATGCTCCTAAAGTAAAAAGCTTAATTTTCTGGTGTAGATAAATGGACCTGCTCTAGGAATGTTGGATTTAATATCCACATACTAATATGTATTATTTCTAAAACTAGCCTGGAAGATGGTACTAATTTGGATGTATGTTTATTTATTTTGTCGAGAGGTCATTCTTTTATGGTCACACCTCAGAATATGGATAAACCTATGAAATTTTGTTGTTGCTGGGGCCGGGGGTTGTCCCAAGGTCTGGTTTCACTCTATAGTATAAATCCATGGTGATCCTCATTTATTATATGTATGAGTGTTTTGTCTACATGTATGTTTACGTGCCACATTGGTGTCTAGTGTCTAAGGAGGCTACATGAGGGTATTAGATTCCCTGGAACTGGAGTCATAGAGTTGCCATGTAGGTGCTGGGAATTGAACAAGAGTAGCCAGTAACCTTAACCATTGAACCATCTTTCCAGCCCCCCCGCTTTTAAAAAAGAAATAAGGTGCTTTATTTGTTTTTATTTTAGATAATAAGTATCTGTGTGTATTTGCTCACGCACATGTATACTGTGTTCACGGAGGCCAGAAAAGGGCACTGGATCCCTTTTCTGAGACAATTGTGAGTTGACTACTCTGGGTGCTAGGAATCAAACTTAAAGCAGCAATGGCTCTTAACCTGAGTTATCTCTCCAGCCCATTTTGGTTTATTGAGACTATACAGCCCAGGCCTTGAACTCTGTAGTAGCCAAGGATGACCTTGAATTTCTGATCTTGCTCCCACTTCCCACTCAACTTCCATCAGACTTTTTGAAAACCACATCATACACTGGAAAATTATTGTACATTGTGATTTAAAGGGTGGTCTCTCTGGAACTAGAAGATATGACCACTAGGTGGCACTGTTGTTGCTTTCCTTAAAAAAATAAATCGGATCATAAGAATTGTAGCTCGAAGGATAGAAATTATCAGATTATATCAATAAACAGCCAAGACTTTGTTTTCACTACACAAAATTTTAATGTGAAACTAAATTAAACATACAAATATACAGTAAAGCTAATGGTAAAAGCAACCTGGTAGCTTAAGGCAAGTTTTAATGAAGAGGAATTTAGAAAAGATGATGCAATGATGTAATTTTAAATATAGATTATGAAAAAATATGAAATTGCATCAATAACTTAAAGTAATTTTCAAAGCCTGCACTACCGGAGAAAAGGGGTTTATTATCTTAATGCCAGCATTAAGACAGACAGAAGCAGTGCCAAGCTAATAAAAAAAACATTCACTATTTACAGAAAGATGGCAACAACAAAATTTAATACCATGTGATCTTATTTACTGGTGGACTGAAAGCTCCTGGCTAGAAGCAGAGAAAATGTACCACCAACATGTTATTTTAAAAAATAAAATTAAGTGCAGAGGTCAAAACGAAGGAGCTGTGTGATTAAAGTAACCTTAAAACACCCCTGTAAGGATCACTTTAAAAAGATAATTCCCCCAGAGGAATTAGGGCACTGAGAGTGTAAACATGTGAGCTGTACAACACCAAATACCAACCAAATTCATTCATAGTACTTAGTTATACAAAGCCAGCATGATCTTTTGTAACACATTGTTTATAATAATTAAAACACAATCCTTACCATGCACAACTTCAAATATATAACAAATATTTTTATTTTGAGATACAGGGTATTTGTTTATGAATTATAAGACTTATATACAATGAAAGACACACCTCCACAATCAAGTATCTTTATATGCTTTTTAAATGCAATGACCTTATTCAGACTTTTCTGAATTGACCATGTCAGTTTTTAAAATTCTCTAAAATAATGCCATTTTATGATAAAATACATTTTTGCAAAAATTCAGAAATGTAGTAACATTTAATGAATATGACCAAGAAAAGTATCTGTAAGCATGTGCCAAATGACTTAGCACTTTTTTCCAGTTTTACATTTAAAAAAATTGCAATTTGACACTAAGCCTATTTTAAAAATATTGTTACACGGATTCATCTCAAAATGCACTATTAAGTCCTTTTGCAAAATACCATCATATATAACTGTGAATGTTTTGCCCAGAATTTATGGAAGAAAATGTATCTTCTGCACAGTTGAACATTTTCTAAGACTATTCTTCATCACCCAGTATTATTTCTACAAAAGCATGCAATACAAAATACACATGAAAGCAGCTATCTTAAACATGATTTTAATACAATTTACCTTTGTAGCTGATTCATCACTGCCTCCAGTTTAATATGCTGTTACATACAAGAAGTTCCAGTATCCCTTTTCTGATTGACTTAAAAAAAAAAAAAAAATCCCTGAATAAAACAGAAGCCAATCTGTGACTTCTTTGGGCATTTCTGTAGAACATTACTGATTAGGGAGAATACACCTCTACCCAAACTCATAATTATAGAATACAACCTGAAACAGATCTGAGACAAATAAAAATACTAATTTAAAATTTTTATGTTTAAAAGGGCAAGAAAGGGTGAGTATTAGTATTTAAAAGGATACTGTGACTTTAACAACTGTAAACTTTTGTTTTAGGAGGCTGTGGCAGACAGCTCTATGCTGCTAGGTTTTTAGCTTGTAAAAAAATGCAAACACATCTTCATTTGTAGAATAATGTAGAATACAAAAAACACAAAATGATATGGAGAAAACAAACACAAACAAAGAATGCTTATCTAGAAGGAAAGCTGTAGAACCAACTTGTCTGAAAGTACAAAATAATTTTAAGCAACTGCTGAAGAAAACCCTGATACAAATTTCAATTTCTTATCTTGTTTTTTAATGACATGAGCTTTTTTAAAATTAAAATGGAGAAAGTAGAGTCTTTCAACCCAACTAAAATAATGCCAACAAGATAAGCTTGCATAGAAAAAAAATTCCAAATTATTACTGGCTACATGTTTTAAAAATCAGAAATGCAGGTATTATAGTGCAAAACCATGGCAGCTGATGATGTCTTTTACTGCCTCAGGTCACAAAATATACTGTAGTACCTCCAGTTATCACAGTTTCTGGTCGCACAATGAGTTATTTATACCAACTAGAAGCAGTGTGTATGTAGAGATGGGCCGCACATATTAACGAAGCTTGAGATCATCACCACCACCTAAATTGGAACCAGGACTAGGGTCTTGTTGTCTTCTTGCCTGCAATGACAAAATTATAATATGAAGTCAAGAATGTGATTTGAAAACTTAAATGATACATATATAAGATATTCAGACACAGTGTTACATAAGAAATGGTCATACAATTAAAACTATATATGACCATTTTATAATACTCAATAATAATTATTTTATATTCAAAAGGATATTGTAAGTATATACTACATATAAAAGAAAAAATTCTATAGTTTATTTTTTAGAATCAGAGGCTTAACTTTACTACACTAATATACACTAATCATCTTAGAAGCAAACTTTTCCTTTTAGTAATAATAAGCAACAATTATATATATGAGGCATTGTCTTAAGTACTCTCCAAGAATGACCTAAATAGTTACCAACAACCTACAATAGGTACCATTATTTTTCCCCATTCTATACAGAAATTGAGTGGCTGGGCGTGGTGGTGTACATCTTTAATCCCAGTACTCCAGAAGAGGCAGGGGTATCTGTGATTGAGGACAGCCAGGGCTGTTACACAGAGAAACCCCATCTCAAAAAACTAAAAACTAAAGAAAAAAAAAGAAAAGAAAAGAAACTGAGTCACAGAAATATATATGCATTATTTACTAATTAACTGAAAAACAAGACAATGAATTTAATCTCTGCTAAATGAATTTTAACTAGAAATCTCAAGAAATGAAATAAATAAAATTAAAAAGAGTGCAATTTGTTGGGCAGTGGTGGCACACGCCTTTAATCCCAGCACTCAGGAGGTAGAGGCAGGCATATCTATGAGTTCAAGGACAGCCAGGGCTATATAGAGAAACCCTGTCTCCAGGGGGGAAAAAAAAACAACAAAAAAACCACCGATCAAATCCAAAGGTTATACTGTTCACAAAGAACTGTATTGGTAGGTTAGTGATTTATAAATATATAATTCGGATTGATTTTCCTTAGTGTTTCTTCATTGCTCAGCCCCTTTCTGATCTTTATTGACTGAAACCAGATTCCTAAATCAGTCTCTGTGTGTCTGCAGAATTGACTGGTCTTTACAGCACACTTAACATTGATTATGTGTGGGGCATAAAATTGGTTTTCTGGTGCATGGGCACCTGTAAGTTTTTAATCTCAGCTTGAGTACTCTAACTGAAAAAGGGTATGCTAAACTGAGCTGTGAAAAGTCTGCTGACAAAAATGGCTTAAATCCATCTGCTAGAGGAGTTACTGCTGAATTTTATTTATTTTTTTATTTTTTATTTTTTTTTTGTTTTTTCGAGACAGGGTTTCTCTGTGTAGCTTTCCGCCTTTCCTGGATCTCGCGCTGTAGACCAGGATGGCCTCGAACTCACAGAGATCCGCCTGCCTCTGCCTCCCGAGTGCTGGGATTAAAGGCGTGCGCCACCACCGTCCGACGCTGAATTTTATTTTGTTTAGAGGTAAATAAGGCAAACTGTCTTTTTGTTGTGGTTAATTTGGCTTTTGGGTTGTTTCCTTTTTTGGTTTGTTTTTTTGGGCACAGTGTCTCCTGGTTGTCCTGGAACTTGCTGACTGGCCCAGACTGGCCCCAGATCTGCCTGCCCTACTTCTAGATGCCATTACACCAGGCAGTTGTAGAAACAACACTGCTCTTAATTGATGACGTAGCTCTGGATTGTCTAACCCAACCCAACCTCAGGGCTGGTTATAAACCTACCTTAGGGTTGATTGTGGCTCATTTGCAGAATGCATTCTTAGTGTGCACAGGGCCCTGGCTTTGATGCCTAGTGCTAAAAAAATAAAACTTGAGCTTGCAGTATAAATGAGACTTGACCCTTTATTTGGAAGGTCAGGAATGTTCTTTCTCTAACAACTGTTTTTGAAACAAGATCTCTTTTGCTCAGGTGACTGGCCTTATACTCTTGATCTTCCTGCTTCAGCCTTCCAGGTACCAGAATCTAATTCTGTGTGTCATTATGCTCAGCCCAAGTAAGATCTCCAGTTAAATGTAGTTTTTTGTTAAATTTGTTTTTTTTTTAATAATTTATTTTTCTTTTATGTGCACTGGTGTTTTTTGCCTGCATGTATGTCTGTGTGAAGGTGTTAGATTCTCTGGAATGCCAGTTAAAATCAGTTGAAAGCTGCCATGTGGTCCTGGGAATTGAACTCAGTTTCCTCCGGAAGAGCAGCCAATGCTCTTAACCTCTAAGTCATCTCTCCAGCCTCTGTTAAATTTGTTTTAAAAAATGACATAGATGATAGAAAAATTAGTTGATGCTTTAGTACACAATTCCAGAAAATTAAGCTAAATAAATCACAGAGGTAATTGTAATTAGTCCCAATTGTTGGCATATAACAGAATTGACTAAGAAGAAAGTGGAAATGAAACATGGTGGCTTGGTCTAGACAGAAAGCGACAAGAGATAGAAGTGTTCAAAATAATATCTTTAAAGATGAACCATCAGAATTTGTTACTGGGTATGGGGAAAAGACATGTTAAAGGTAACCCAAGGTTTTCTATCTAAACAACTGGCAAAATGGAGTTGCCATTATCTAACACTAGAAAACTTACATTGAAGGAACCAGGTTCTGGTTACAAATAGATGTTTGTACTTAGCCAGCATTTGGAAGGATTAAAAAAGCTTTAAAGTACATTAAAATCTGTGCAAGATTCTAGAGAATATTGCCATGTGGGGAGGCTAGTGAGATGTCTCAATGATTAAAGGCACCCTCTGCCAAGCCTGACTACCTGAGCTTAGTACTCCATGTTTACTGCTCTTCCAGATGACTGTGTTCAGGGCCTAAGACCCATGCCAGGCAGCTCACACCATCTGTAACTCTATCTTCAGGAGATCTGACTCCCTCTCCTGGCTTCCATAAGCACCTGCATGCACAACATCCACACATATACAATATTAAATATAATAAAATGCTGTGGGATGTTCTGTATGGCAAATGTGTTGCTGATTGGTCAGTAAATAAAACACTGATTGGCCATTGGCTAGGCAGGAAGTATAGGCGGGACAAGGAGGAGAATAAAGCTGGGAAGTGGAAGGCTGAATCAGAGAGACACTGCCGGCCGCCATGATGAGAAACAGCATGTGAAGATGCCTGGTAAGCCACGAGCCATGTGGCAAGGTATAGATTAATGGAAATGGATTAATTTAAGCTGTAAGAACAGTTAGCAAGAAGCCTGCCACGGCCATACAGTTTGTAACCAATATAAGTCTCTGTGTTTACTTGGTCGGGTCTGAGCGTCTGTGGGACTGGCGGGTGAGAGAGATTTATCCTGACCGTGGGCCAGGCAGGAAAACTCTAGCTACAATAAAAACTAAATATTTATTTTTAAAGTTGTACATGGCCAAAAGGGGCACCATATTATATATTGCCAGAGTGTCATACATGATATTTTACTTAATAGATGTTTTCTTTTCTTTTTTTTAAAGTAAATCTTTATTTATTTATTTATTATGTACAGTGTTCTGCCTGAATGTATGCTTGGATGCCGGAAGAGGGCACCAGATCTCATTATAAATGGTTGTGAGCTACCACGTGGATGCTAGGAATTGAACTCAGGACCTCTAAGAAGAGCAGCTGGTGCTCTTAACCTGAGTCATCTCTCCAGGCCTGATAGATATTTTCTATTAAGTAATTTGTCATAGGTAATTTAAGTAGGATGTGCATTCTTCAGTGAACCGTGAAATGCTCAGTGTTTATAATTATTGTTTCTTAATTGTTAAATACTGTTATAAAGATACTTAAATATGTTATAAGTTGCACTTTTTTGTTTGTTTTTTGGTGACAGGGTTTCTCTGTGTAGCCCTAGCTGTCCTAACTCTCTCTCTGTAGACCAGGCTGGCCTCAAATTCACAGAGATCCACCTGCCTTCTGAGTGCTGGAATTAAAGGCGTGTGCCACCACGGCCTGGCTTATTTCCAAATTTTATTAATGATAATGGAATGATTTAAAATGGGTGACAGTCACCCACAGCTGAGGGACACTTGTCTAAAGCATCCCATGTTTTGGTAGAAAGCCTGGAGAACAAAAAGTAAAGAAAAGTAACTTCCTTGGCTTGTGCTGTGAGTTTCTATTTACCTTGTGAGAAAGGGACTAAGGAGACTCCCTGTGCAGGAGTGTGGAACAGGGAAGAGCGAGAGTTCTGGGAGATGGAGGGAAGATGGACAGGCTGTCTGAAGGAGACAGAGAAACAGACTTAGCTCCTGTGACTAGCTTCCACAGAGAGGACTTTGAGAAGTTATGCTACCAACTTTGGCTGTCTTTCTTTCTTTCTTTTTTTTAATAGGGTCTCACTATGTAGACCTGGCTGGCCTCAAACTCACAGGGAGCTCACCTGCCTCTGCCTCTTAAGTTAATTTTGGCCATTTCTAATGTAGGTTGGCTGTTTTAGAGGAAACTCTTCTATGGGTAGTAAGCTACACTTGATAATGACAAAGACGTCCTCTTTGAACTCACTCTTAGCATCAAGTCCATAGTTTGTTCTTAAATTAATCTAGACATCTCATTACAGACCTCTTACTACCTATTCTTCCTAGAACTTTTTTGGTACAACATCATTCAGAAATACAGCAAATCTAGTTTCTAGGAGGTCACTGCAAGATGAATGTAAAAGAGTGACAAAGTAGTCACTAGTCAGGACTTGGAGAAATAGCCAAGAGCAGGGTTTATTAGTTAAATAAGTCAAAGGTTTTGGTTGACTGCTATTTTTTTTTTTTTTTTTTTTTTTTTGGCTTTTTCGAGACAGGGTTTCTCTGTGTAGCTTTGCGCCTTTTCCTGGAACTCACTTGGTAGCCCAGGCTGGCCTCGAACTCACAGAGATCCACCTGGCTCTGCCTCCCGAGTGCTGGGATTAAAGGTGTGCGCCACCACCGCCCGGCTGCTATTTTTTTTTAATTAGCCAGTAAACAAACATGGAAAACTATTCATAGAAAAGCACTTTAATAATTGAAAATAGCTATAATTCACGAGTATGTACTATATATAAATAATATCCTTCTCATACCCACTTTATATCTGATACTTGGCTAAAAGTATAAGAGATC